TTTCCTCCCTGGTTGCCAGGTACTCGAACCACGTGGGGCTGTACGACCTGCACACGGGGCGGCGGCTGCACACGCTGCACAACCTGCACCGCGAGCACATCAACGTGCTCAAGTTTGCCCACCACTCGCCGCACGTCTTCGCCACCTCCTCCTTCGACCGCCACGTCAAGCTCTGGGACGCGCGTCAGCGCATCTCGTCCTCGTCTGGGGGCGGGTTCGGGGGGCTGTTTGCGCAGGGGCGGGAGAGCGTGCGGCCGATTTACTCTGTGCGCAGTGACCGTGGCAATGTGATGGTGTGCTTCAGCCCTGATGATCAGTTCCTGCTGTCCTCTGCTGTTGACAATGAGGTGAGCGGCGCGCATGGACATGACAATGGATGACAGTTTGCCCTGTTCTGTTAATACAAAGCCCCTTAATATCAGCCCGGACTTTCTTTCGCTGCACACTCTCCCCAACTGTCCCTCACCCTCCCTCCCTTCCCCTCCCTCCAACTCCTTCATTCTCTTACCAGGTGCGGCAGCACATAGCAGTGGATGGTCGGCTGCAGCAGCGGTTTGAGATAGCGGCGCTGGGCAGTGCGCACAACTACACGCGGTCCTACTACATGAACGGGCGTGACTACATTGTATCAGGCAGCTGCGAGGAGAACGTGGTGCGCATCTGCTGCGCTAAAACCGGTCGCCGCCTCCGCGACATCCCCCTGGAGGTGAGGGGGGCTGGGGCTGGGAACGGGGGTGTGCTGTGGGGATAATGGGGTTGCGTATGCTGGTTGTGCTGGTGGATTGTGCTGGTCTGGTGTGGCAGGCTACACTTGGGTGCATCACAAGTGTTTGCACTCTTCCATCACCCCACTCTTCCGCACCTCTCTCATCGCCATCCCCAATCCGTTTCCGCTTCTGCCGTTGCCCCTTGTCGCTTATGTGTGTCAGGGCAAGGGCGGCAAGAGCTCCCTCTACGTGCAATCTCTGCGAGGAGACCCCTTCAGGGTACGACTCTTACTCCCATGCCCCTGTGACCCTTTACCCCCTGCAATCTGCTCTGCATTAGCTGCCACATGTCACACTCCCTCATTTCAACAAACCATCCTGCTCCAACACAGCACACGCCCTACTACTCACCCATGTCACCCTCCACCTTTCTGAAGCCTTGCTTCTACCCTTAGTGTGGTGAATCACTGGTCTCGCCTGCACTGCCCTGGTCAATCTTCTGTGAGAACGTTTGCAATCACAGCACTTCCATTCATTGCGCTTCACTCCCCCCCTTGTTGCTGCACGCAGGACTTCCATCTGTCGGTGCTCGTGGCCTACAGCCAGCCCAACTCCCCCTCAGACATTGTCAAGGTGCGCCCCTGCCCTTGCGCCCCTTGCCCTGCTTCTGTATGCATGCCATATGCTCCTCGGTCGGCCAGCGCGCACATTCTTTGCTCATACATGTCCTTGTTCTCCCATCTCTTCCCTGCTTCTCTTTGCTGTGTGTGCAGGTGAATCTAGTGGCGGGTCCTCCGCACCGAAAGGGCCTAGACTTTCAGACTCGGCCGTTGGCGTCAGTGGGTGCGTAGACTCTGCGTTTGGCTGCAATTGCTATGTATGGCATGCCTTGCTGCCTTGTATCATGCTCCTAGCGGCTGTCTTGTTCCCACGTGGGATGGTGGATACATTGAGGGAAACAACTGACACTTTCTGGGATGGCATGTTGGGGGTAAAGGGATGGATGGTTGGGTGAAATAGACGATGCAGCTGGGGCTGGGTCTTGGCGAGTGACTAGGCTCCTGTTCGCGAGAGGACGTTGGAGGGATGGATGGATGAGTGCTCCTTTGGATTTTGGAAGGTGGGAAGAGGCACTGTATATGATGGCGACTATGCTGGATGATGCATTTTCGATACTTCTATACTTCTGTGTATCACCAGCAGAGCAAGGCTCTTGTAAGAACTCCTGTAATCGAAATATTAAATTGTAATAGGAGTTTAGCAATTAGGTACACTACGATGTCTTGATCCCCTTGCAAATTTGCCATCGCCTCAGCGTGTGTTGAAGGCGTCGGATCGCGTCACGGGCCGTCAACAAAAGCGCGTCTCGATCAACCGACCAAGGGAGAGAATTCGTGCGACAAACGACCACCTGCGAAACAGTCTGGCCAGAAGCACAGGTGACCTGAAGCATAGTTACTTTCCAGGCAAAAACAGCTTTATCTCACATCGCCTGTGTCGCAGCCAGTGGGCTCCAATATTTGTGGTGTGTTTGTGCGATCGCTTGCGACACGGAGAGCCGCAGGTGAAACGGGAGATGAATGCGCACCACACCATGTTTTCACGGGCAGCGCCAGTGGCGCCGATTTGGTGACCACAGCGATGAAGTTCCGCTCTTCTGGTTCATTTCGCTTCTCTCCTATCCACCATCCACCCTGCTGGGGCAAAATATTCTTCCAGCTCCACCGTCACCAAGCACTACCCACCCTCGCCTCCCACCCAACCACCCACTCGCCGACGCACTCTCCTCCAAGCCCCAACCAACCCAGCCAGCATTCGGCGCTCCACCTTTCCGTTCCATTCCTTTCCCTGCCCGCTCCAACTCGCCCCACCTGCCTCGTCCTCCCATCTGGCTGGAGTGGGGCTATTTTCCAACATCCCCCACCCGTGACCTCCCCCAAATGCTGACCCGACCCGCATTGCTCGGCTCTTACTGTACCCATCTTAGTCACAACAACACAACGCCACCCTCGATTTTCGACGATCGATCGCAGGATCGGCGTTCAGGTGACGCGTCCTCAGCTTCTGCCGCCGACTACCGACGCGGCTGGCACTCCTTGCTCTGCCTGCGTGCCTCACGCCACCGTTGATCAAAACCACGAACGAGAACATCCGCTCCTCGCCTCCCCTCGCCACGCCAGCCAAGCAGCATACTACCCCGCGTGAATCCTGCTGGCCCATTTATATCCGTTGCGCTTGCGGTGATCCTGAACTTGCTCGTATCGCATGTCCGTGCTTCAGTGCTCTTAAAACCAGGGTGCACATTCAACGCGGTTCGGCTTGAGATGTTGGGAAGGGGGTTTGGAGAAAAACAGTGATTGGCTCACGAGGGGCGACAAAAAAATGATTCCGCTAGAGCTTCGGGCATTTCGTAGGTGGCGGGAGGGGGTGAAATGGCGGGAGTGGGTGAAACCGAATGGCGGGAGGGATGAAACAGATTGGCGGGAGGGGGGGGAAACGAAATTGCGGGGGAGGGGGGAAACAAAATTGCGGGGGAGGGGGGAAACGAATTTCGACGGGGAGGGGGAAATGAAATTGCGGGGGCGTGGGGAAACGAAATTGCGGGGGAGGGGGGAAACGAATTTCGACTTGAAGGGGTTGAAAGCACACCTCGTAACCCACTCAGTCAAGGGATAACCTTTGATGCACATTCAGCTGAATGTGCACCCCGGTTTTAACGCAACCTCGAACTGACTTTTGAGTCGACTTAAAAAGTCAGCTCGCGTATGTGCCGCACGTCACAGAGCTGACTTTTGAGTCGACTTAAAAAGTCAGCTCGCGTATGTGCCGCACGTCACAGAGCTGACTGTTGAGTCGACTTAAAAAGTCAGCTCGCGTATGTGCCGCACGTCACAGAGCTGACTTTTGAGTCGACTTAAAAAGTCAGCTCGCGTATGTGCCGCACGTCACAGAGCTGACTTTTGAGTCGACTCAAAAAGTCAGCTCGCGTATGTGCCGCACGTCACAGAGCTGACTTTTGAGTCGACTTAAAAAGTCAGCTCGCGTATGTGCCGCACGTCACAGAGCTGACTTTTGAGTCGACTTAAAAAGTCAGCTCGCGTATGTGCCGCACGTCACAGAGCTGACTTTTGAGTCGACTTAAAAAGTCAGCTCGCGTATGTGCCGCACGTCACAGAGCTGACTTTTGAGTCGACTTAAAAAGTCAGCTCGCGTATGTGCCGCACGTCACAGAGCTGACTGTTGAGTCGACTTAAAAAGTCAGCTCGCGTATGTGCCGCAAGTCACAGAGCTGACTTTTGAGTCGACTTAAAAAGTCAGCTCGCGTATGTGCCGCACGTCACAGAGCTGACTTTTGAGTCGACTTAGAAAGTCAGCTCGCGTATGTGCCGCACGTCACAGAGCTGACTTTTGAGTCGACTTAAAAAGTCAGCTCGCGTATGTGCCGCACGTCACAGAGCTGACTTTTGAGTCGACTTAAAAAGTCAGCTCGCGTATGTGCCGCACGTCACAGAGCTGACTTTTGAGTCGACTTAAAAGTCAGCTCGCGTATGTGCCGCACGTCACAGAGCTGACTTTTGAGTCGACTTAAAAAGTCAGCTCGCGTATGTGCCGCACGTCACAGAGCTGACTTTTGAGTCGACTTAAAAAGTCAGCTCGCGTATGTGCCGCACGTCACAGAGCTGACTTTTGAGTCGACTTAAAAAGTCAGCTCGCGTATGTGCCGCACGTCACAGAGCTGACTTTTGAGTCGACTTAAAAAGTCAGCTCGCGTATGTGCCGCACGTCACAGAGCTGACTTTTGAGTCGACTTAAAAAGTCAGCTCGCGTATGTGCCGCACGTCACAGAGCTGACTTTTGAGTCGACTTAAAAAGTCAGCTCGCGTATGTGCCGCACGTCACAGAGCTGACTTTTGAGTCGACTTAAAAAGTCAGCTCGCGTATGTGCCGCACGTCACAGAGCTGACTTTTGAGTCGACTTAAAAAGTCAGCTCGCGTATGTGCCGCACGTCACAGAGCTGACTTTTGAGTCGACTTAAAAAGTCAGCTCGCGTATGTGCCGCACGTCACAGAGCTGACTTTTGAGTCGACTTAAAAAGTCAGCTCGCGTATGTGCCGCACGTCACAGAGCTGACTTTTGAGTCGACTTAAAAAGTCAGCTCGCGTATGTGCCGCACGTCACAGAGCTGACTTTTGAGTCGAATTAAAAAGTCAGCTCGCGTATGTGCCGCACGTCACAGAGCTGACTTTTGAGTCGACTTAAAAGTCAGCTCGCGTATGTGCCGCACATCACAGATGGACGGAACCCTTCCCACATGTCACCCCCTCTCCCCCTCACACACAATCACTCTCACTCACCCAGATGCCAACACGCACACTCTCACAGAAACCCACCACGGTGCGTTGCGTTGCCACACTGCCCCCCCATGCCGCTGTGTCCCCAGGGCTAGCGCACAGAGCACGGAGCAGCGGCTGCTGGTGGAGGAGCAGGAGAGCGCAGCACTGCAGGCACAGGAGGAGGCGGAAGCATGGGCGGCGGAGGAGGCGCGCGAGCATATGAGGAGCGCCCGGGACGCTGTTGCCCACATGCACTCTGCTGTCTCCGCCACCCTCGCTGCTGCTGCCGCCGCCGCTGCCGATGCTCGTGCTGGTGCTGGTGGGGCTGGTGATAAGGCTGGAGCGGGGAATGCAGAGGGAGGGGGGGATGGGGGAGTGAAGCACGAGAATGAGCCACCCGTTGGGTCACACGTGCATGGGCGGGGGCTGCTGGGATCCTCATGCAGCAGTCAGCAGCACCACAAGCCCCCGCCGGCCCCTCACACACCACAGCACCACAGCCCACCAACCCCTGCAACTAAATCACCATCCGCGCTCTTTCCTTCCCCAGTCCCCCTGGCAACGCGAAAGCCAGCTGCCACCACTGCTGCTACCGCCCCGCCGTCCCTGCCCCCGCCTTCCCCTCCCCCGCCACCGCCCCCTCCCCCTGGCCCATGGTACGGGCTGTTCAGCGCGGGCAAGGCGCTGAGCACGATTCTGGTGCCCATGGGGGCGCGCAACGTGAAGGTCAGCGGTAACTCCGTGAATATAACGTCGGATAGTGGCAACAGCAGCGCCACCATCACCAAAGGTGCGTGTGCATTGTGCATCCCATGGGGGTTGGTGGTTCAATGTGTGTGCGTGCGTGCATTTCTTGTAAAAGGCATGGTGCTGGGCCGGCCCATTGCGGCCAGGCCAGTGATAGCTTGTGCCTCCCTCCCTACTCGTCCCTCCGCCTCTCCCCGACTTTCCCTGTGTTCATTCATTCATTCATTCATCCATCCATCCATGAATCTTCACGGCCATCTCCCTGGCAGGGTCGCGGTGGCAGTCCCTGAGCAAGTACTCATCGGGGGTGTTTCAAGCGCGCATGACGTGCCCTGCCAACGACACCACTGGCCTCCTCTTCTCCTTCTTCGTGCGTTCCCCCTCCCTGCCCTCCCTTGCCCCTCTCCTCCCTTGTCGGCCCCGCTTCTCCCATGTATCTCTTTCGTTGCCCCTCCTTATCCTGCCCCCACCATACCACCCATTTCCGCACCCCAGTCCCTCTCTCTCCTCGACCAACCCACCACAACCTTTCACCATTTTCAATCGATCCCTCCTTCCCCGTGCTTCCTCTGCTGCACCTCCCGACTCACGTTACCCCTGCCGCCTCTCCCCCTGCATTTCTCCCTCCCCCTTTCCCCGTTTCCCCCAGCTGAGCACGATGGCAGGGGAGGGCAACCACAGCGGGGTGAGCTTTGACTTCCCCGGGGCCAACAAGACGCAGCTGTACGCCACGCACCACATCAATGGCCGTGCCTACCCCATAACCGTGCCTCTCAACTTCTCCTGTGATGCACAGCCGCACCTCTACACCATATACTGGGACGCCAAGTACACTGCGTGAGTGCGCCTGTGCATCTACACCGTGCAGGGATGAGAGCTGGCTTGTGGCGGTTGTGCACTTGCTTGTGGGGAAGCATGATGGCAGGGTGGGTGTGAGGTGCAAAGCACCTCACATCAAATCCATCCCCTCTCTCCCCAACCACCTGCTTCTCTCAGGCTATGCGCCACTAGCCTTGCGCCACGCCCTTCACATGCCCATCTTTACCCACTCCCACTTCTGACCCCCCCACCCCCCCACACCAGGTGGTACGTGGATCAGGTGTTGGTGCGGCTGCTGCAGTTCCGTCCCAAGCGCTCCTACCCCACACAGCCCATGTACCTGTACGGCACACTGCGCCCTGCTGCCGCCACCAACATGGCCAAGCGCGCTGGCGTCGCCAAGGGCAACTACACCAACCTCGCCCAGTGGACAGGTGTGTGTGTGCGTGTGTGCATGCGTGCGTGCGTGCGTGCGTGTGTGTGTGTGTGTGTGTGTGTGTGTGTTCCTGTCTCCCACACCCACCTTTCTTCCTCCTCTTTCCCTCCCACCTCTCCCCCTTCCCACCCTTCTTCCTCTCTCCACACCCCCTTTCTCTCCCCACCTTCTCCCTACCCCCCCACACCGCCTCCCCCCTTCCCCCAGGCATCACAGTGATCGGTCCCCTGATGGCGCAAGTCGGCCCAGCGCCCCCCAAGAAGCCCCCGGCAGCGGTGCAGTGGCCGCGCACGAACGGCAGCATCATGGCGCCGCTGATGGTGGACTACTGCGACGACCACTGCCTCTCCTGCGCCAACAGCACTGACGGCTCCGCCACCATCCGCTACGACAACCGCTGCGGTGAGCCCACCCCAACGCTGCTGCTGCTAGAGTGGGGCTTGGGTGGTGGGTTCAACGGCTGATGGCCCCTCTGCGGTATCGATGCATCATGCATGTGCAATCTTGTGGGGAGCATAGGAATTGAGAGGGTGTGGGAGTGAGGGAGCGAGAGGAATGAGTGTCTAATGCTGTGGGTGCGCATTGTCTTCCATGGTGCAATGGTGCGTGGTACATGGCAGGGTCTCGCTTCCGGTCATCGCTGCCCTACTACTTTGCGTTCATCAGTGGCGACGTGCGCTGTGCCCCGGGGCTCACCAGCGGCATCGTCACCAGCTTCTATGTGCGTGCCCTGCTCACCCACCCCTTAGAATGCCCATAGCAGTGAGAAGAGTGCTCATGTGCTCATGTGCTCATGTGCTCATGTGCTCATGTGCTCATGTGCTCATGTGCTCATGTGCTCATGTGCTCATGTGCTCATGTGCTCATGTGCTCATGTGCTCATGTGCTCATGTGCTCATGTGCTCATGTGCTCATGTGCTCATGTGCTCATGTGCTCATGTGCTCATGTGCTCATGTGCTCATGTGCTCATGTGCTCATGTGCTCATGTGCTCATGTGCTCATGTGCTCATGTGCTCATGTGCTCATGTGCTCATGTGCTCATGTGCTCATGTGCTCATGTGCTCATGTGCTCATGTGCTCATGTGCTCATGTGCTCATGTGCTCATGTGCTCATGTGCTTCATGTGCTCATGTGCCATGTGCTCATGTGCTGCATGTGCTCATGTGCTCATGTGACTCATGTGCTCATGTGCTCATGTGCTCATGTGCTCAGTGCTCATTGCTCATGTGCTTGCCATGCCTCTGTGCTCATGTGCTCCCTGTCTTCATGTCTCATGTGCTCATGTGCTCATGTGCTCATGTGCTCATGTGCTCATGTGCTCTGTGCTCATGTGCTCATGTGCTCATTGTTGCTCATGTGCTCATGTGCTCATGTGCTCATGTGCTCATGTGCTCATGTGCTCATGTCTCATGTGCTCATGTGCTCATTGTGCTCATGTGCTCATGTGCTCATGTTGCTCATGTGCTCATGTGCTCATTGCTCATGTGCTCATGTGCTCATGTTGCTCATGCTCATGCTCCATGTGCTTCATGTGCTCATGTGCTCATTTCTCATGTGCTCATGTGCTCATGTGCTCATGTGCTCATGTGCTCATGTGCTCATGTGCTCATAGTGCTCATGTGCTCATGTGCTTCATGTGCTCATGTGCTGCATGTGCTCATTTGCTCATGTGCTCATGTGCTCATGTGCTCACGTGCTCATGTGCTCATGTGCTCATGTGCTCATGTGCTCATGTGCTCATGTGCTCATGTGCTCATGTGCTCATGTGCTCATGTGCTCATGTGCTCATGTGCTCATGTGCTCATGTGCTCATGTGCTCATGTGCTCATGTGCTCATGTGCTCATGTGCTCATGTGCTCATGTGCTCATGTGCTCATGTGCTCATGTGCTCATGTGCTCATGTGCTCATGTGCTCATGTGCTCATGTGCTCATGTGCTCATGTGCTCATGTGGCTCATGTGCTCATGTGCTCATGTGCTCATGTGGTCATGTGCTCATGTGCTCATGTGCTCATGTGCTCATGTGCTCATGTGCTCATGTGCTCATGTGCTCATGTGCTCATGTGCTCATGTGCTCATGTGCTCATGTGCTCATGTGCTCATGTGCTCATGTGCTCATGTGCTCATGTGCTCATGTGCTCATGTGCTCATGTGCTCATGTGCTCATGTGCTCATGTGCTCATGTGCTCATGTGCTCATGTGCTCATGTGCTCATGGTGCTCATGTGCTCATGTGCTCATGTGCTCATGTGCTCATGTGCTCATGTGCTCATGTGCTCATGTGCTCATGTGCTCATGTGCTCATGTGCTCATGTGCTCATGTGCTCATGTGCTCATGTGCTCATGTGCTCATGTGCTCATGTGCTCATGTGCTCATGTGCTCATGTGCTCATGTGCTCATGTGCTCATGTGCTCATGTGCTCATGTGCTCATGTGCTCATGTGCTCATGTGCTCATGTGCTCATGTGCTCATGTGCTCATGTGCTCATGTGCTCATGTGCTCATGTGCTCATGTGCTCATGTGCTCATGTGCTCATGTGCTCATGTGCTCATGTGCTCATGTGCTCATGTGCTCATGTGCTCATGTGCTCATGTGCTCATGTGCTCATGTGCTCATGTGCTCATGTGCTCATGTGCTCATGTGCTCATGTGCTCATGTGCTCATGTGCTCATGTGCTCATGTGGTTCCTCCTTGGAGAGCATAGTGAGCACTTGCACCATGCTGCCTGCCACGCCGCCTGCCATGCCGCCTGAGTTCCTCTGTCACTCCACCGCACTTGTGAGTGCGTGCAGATGTCATCGCTGGAGGGCAGTGGCATACAGGACGAGATAGACTTCGAGTGGCTGGGCAAGAACAAGTCGATCGTGCAGACCAACTTCTACGTGGGCGGGGTGGGCGGGCGGGAGAAGATCGTGGACCTGGGCTTTGACTGCTCACAGGCCTTCCATAACTACGCCATCCTCTGGACGCCCTCGCAGCTCGTGTACGTCCCTGCCTTGCCACGCCAGGCCATGCCATGCCCTGTACAGCCCCTTGTGTGTAGCGGGCCTCTTTCGTGTGGCCCCTCACGGCTCGCAGTGGCCCCTCGTTCTGAACGCCCTTGCAACTTGTGTGCCTGCATGGCCGTGTGCTGCTGCCACATGCTGCATTGCACCTCTCCATGGCCTCTCAATGAAGTCCCTGCCCCCACATCTACACAATGCATGCACTGCTTACCTGCACTGCACTACTGACACCTCCCCTGTTCCTGCGCCCTTCCCCGCCCCTGCCGTTCCCTCCTGCTTCTCCCATTCCCTCCCCTCTTTCTCCGCCTCTTCCTGTCTGCCGTATGCCCTCCCACCATGCACCACACCAGCTGGTTCATAGACTACAAGGCAGTGCGTGTCGAGTACAACGCCTCCTCCGTTCTCCCCCCCGCCAAGCGCAGCAAGCCGGGCGCACCCGTGCCGTCCAAAGCATACCCCTCCAAGCCGGCCTTCTTTTACGCCAGCATGTGGGATGCCAGCAGTGCAGGCAACGGGTGGTGGGCGGGCAATAGAAGTGCGTCCACTGTGAACAACCCCAACTGGGCCATCTTTGCCCGGTATAAGAACCTGCGAGTGCTCTCGCCTGTGTTGTCGCGATGAGTTGACGGCACATGGACTGTGGCTGGTGTTGCAGCTAGTTGGGTACCTTTGGTTTGATTGCCAGGTTGGTGTTTGTTCTGGTCTGGACCCAGCCGTGTATGGCTTATGCGTGTCTGTTGTATCATGTATCATCTGCCATGTTGTGTAATTATTTTGTTCATAAAAAAACATTTCCACCAACATGTGTCATCTTTGGACCATGGCTTTGTTGATCCTCTACCTTAAATGTAAGCACTGATGTCACTTTTCCTAAACGAGTATATGATACACACGTTTTTGTTGGAGGGTACCTTAGTATTAATGGAACGGCTATGTATGTATTCACGTGTGTTTATTGAAAGGGACTAATAACTGAGAAACGCCATCGGACCTTACCGCGTACATACGTCCAAAGCTCGGATCCTTTTTTTTCCCCACGGCACATTCGTTCCCGCCATTCTGTTCCCAGCAACCCAAGAGCGCTGGGACGTACCACGCACTGCACGCTTCCTCTCCGCACTCTTGTTCCGCCCTTCTCAGTTCCGCTCCGCTTCCCCCATGACTGCCAAAGCGCGCTCTGCGGCGCACTCCCCCCCCTGCCCCGTCTTCGCCAGCAGCACGCTCGAATGGACTCCGCTCGGCCGCTTCCACCGCTTCCTCGGCGCCGCCTCCCTCCCCCGCCGCATTCAGCGCTTGCGCCGCCGGCGCCACCCTGCTGCGCGCAAGGTGCTCGGCGCAAGCCGACAACGGCGCATTCCGCCCTCCTTGTCAGCTGCCGCGCGGGGAGACAACCTCCTACCCGGAGGCGCTCTGCCATCGGCGGATGATCCACAGGCGCCGCAGCAGGAGCATGAGCAGCGGCGGAGGCGCAGCGATGGGCGGCGAGTGCGGTTCGATTTGGGCGACAATGACGACGATGAAGCTAGGAAAGAGACGAACGCTGGCGACAGCAGCAGCCGGCAGCGGTTCGGGTTGGAGCGCGGCGGGCATCCGTTGGGCGTGCAACCCCTAGGGAACCTCTTCCTGCGCTCCGACCATAACCCCCTTAAACCCCTCCGCAACGCGCGCGACGCGGGGCTCGGCGCACTGCGGCGCCTGCCGGACCCAATCCTGCTGGACATCGTGGGGCGGCTGCCCGCCGAGTCGCTGTGCCACGTGGGCATGGCGAGCCGCGCGCTGCACGTGGTGGCGCACCAGGAGGAGCTGTGGCGCGCGCTGGTGCTGGAATCCGCGGAAGGCGGGTTCGAATGGGAGGCGAGCTGGCGGTGGACTTACGTGAAATGGCGCATGGGCGCACGGGCGCAGGCGGAGGGAGAGGGGGAGGGGAAGGGAGGGGAAGCAAGCAGGGAAGGGAAGGGCGTGAAACGGAAGGAGAAGCATGGGGAGGAGCGCGGGGTGTTGCAGTACCGACCGCCATTGAAGGTGCGCCTCGCTGACCAGAACCTGATTCTCTTCCACCCACCAAACCACCCCCGTTTTCTACCTTCAGTCCAAGACAGAGTTCTGTCACATTCACTGCAAAACCCAGAGCCTCTGTCATTGCCCTCGTACCCTCTCCGTCCACCTCCATTTTCCCCCGTGATCCCCCCTCCGCACCCTCTCAGGGCCCTTGCACCAACTCACCACAACTCGCCCCCATATCCCACCCATCTCTATTCAACACCCCTCACCCCTTTGAACCCTTAACCCCAAACCCCTTCCCCCTCGCCTCCCCCTCTCAGGTACCGGACTTCTATTCGGACTATTTCTTCCAGAGCTGGCTCTGCACCAGCCTCGCCCTGCCGCCCGCCTGGACCACCCACGACAACATCCCGCGCGTCGCCGCCACCTCCCTCTCGCCCGCCGACTTCGCCGCCCGCTTCGAGCGCCCCGGGCGGCCGGTGATCATCACAGGCGCCATCAACCACTGGCCGGCGTTGTCCCGGTGGCAGGACCGTGCGTACCTGTGTGGCGCAGCGGGCGACAGTGCGTTTGCGTGCGGGCCGGTGGAGCTGAGCTTGGATCAGTACTGGCGGTATGCGGATGGAGTGCAGGAGGAGCGGCCGCTGTACGTGTTTGACCCGCGGTTTGGGGAAAAGGCGCCTGCTCTGTTGGGAGACTATGAGGTGCCCGAGTACTTCCGAGAGGACCTCTTCCAAGTGCTGGACCTGGGGACGGGTGGTGGGGAGAATGGAGGGGAGAACGGGGGTGAGCGGGGCGCGGGTGGAGCTGGGGGAGAAGGGGGAGATGGGGGTGAGGGGAGTGCGGGCGGGAGGGGAAAAACGGGGGAAACTGGTGAAGTGGAGGTGGGTGCAGGAGAGGGAGAGGGAGAGGGAGAGGGGCAAGGGAAGAAGGAGGAGACGAGTGGGCGACCTGATTTTCGGTGGCTGATCATGGGCCCTGCCCGGGCGGGGTCATCATGGCACATAGACCCCAACTCCACGTGCGCCTGGAACGCCGTCATCACCGGCTCCAAGAAGTGGATCCTCTTCCCGCCCAACGAGGGCCCGCCACCTGGCGTGCGTGCGAGCCCCGATGGTGCTGACGTGGCGGCGCCGGTGTCGATCACGGAGTGGTTTATGAATTACTACGAGGAGATGCGGCGGGGGCCGGTGACGGCGTATGAGGGCGTGTGTGCGGCGGGCGAGGTGATGTTTGTGCCGCATGGATGGTGGCACATCGTGCTCAACCTGGAGGAGTCCATTGCTCTCACTCAGAACTATGTCTCCAGGTGGGCACGCAAGAGAGCGTCTCTTGTCGCTCACACATGCACACACATGCATGCCCTCATCTTCTTTCCACCCATCGCTTTTCTGTCACCTGCCTTGTCCCCATCGCTGCACTCCTCCCCTTCCAATCCAAGCCATGATTTCCCAGTCTCAACCTCTCTCCTCCCCTTGGCCCCCTCCCCCTCTTCGCCCTCTCCCCTCTCTCCCTTCCCCCTCACACCGCATCCCCCAGCGCGAACCTGTTGGATGTGATGCGGTTCCTGCAGCGGCCCAATGCGCGTGTACTGGTGTCAGGCATGGGCGAGGGGCAGCGCGAGGGGCTGCACGACCGCTTCCGTGAGTGCCTGGCGGTGCACCGCCCAGGGCTGCTGGAGAGGGAGGAGAGGGACGAGGAGGAGCGCGAGCTCAGACGCAAGCAGAAGGCTGCTTTCTGGGAGCAAGCAGCTAATGCGGGTGATGGGGGGTTCAGATTTGGATTTTAGAATGGTGTGCTGGTTTGCTGTTGAGATTAGAGACTTGGTGAAGGAGAAGCAGGACAGAGAAGGTGCTTGAATTGATTAGTTTAGATGTGTTACTTGCTTAGTATATACCATGTATGTCCCCACTGTCGCTGCAATGGAGCTCGTCGTGTAAGTGCAGATTATGGTACCGCAAGTTATAAGCAGCATTTTTTTGGAGCATCAAATCCATGAGTAATAAAACCGTGGTGCAACGAAATGGGTGATAAGTGAACGAAGTCACATCCAAAGGTCAGCAGAAGCAAGAAACGTCCAAAGGTATGCTAATGATATTATCAAACTGCAGCGGGTAACCCGCTTAAGATGAGTGCACGGTCTAAGCCATGTGCTCCACAGCCCACAGCTGCTTTAGTCACATGCTCTCCATGCACCTCTGATTAGTCACTAGTCAAGCACGACAAATGGCAGCACAGGGGAACAACCAGGCAACAGAGCACACCAACAGCAGCAACTCAAAGCAGCAGTGCACCAAGTAAGCAAGCAAGCAAAGGGTGCGAGGGAACGGAAGCAATGGCAACACTCCCTTCCGAAGCACGCAAGCTAAGCGGCGCCAGGAGGAGCGGCAGCAGGCGGGGCAGCAGCACTGTAATCATACCCTCCCTGCGCACCACCCTCCGCTCCACCATACCCCTGCCCTGCCGCCTGCTGCCCCCCCGCCGGGGGCTGCTGCTGCTGCTGCTGCCCATACGCATCCTGCCCTCCCTGCGCCTGCTGCCCCTGCCCGTAGTAATCATACCCGCCCTGCTGCGCACCATACCCTGGCTGGGCATACCCCTGCTGCCCATACCCCTGCTGATCATACCCCTGCTGCTGAGGATACCCCCCCGGTGCTGCTGCATACCCCGCAGGAGGCGCCTGCTGCCCCTGCTGCTGCGGGTACCCCTGCTGGTATCCCCCATAGTACCCCGCCTGCCCGCCCTGCTGAGCGCCATACGCGTACCCCCCGTCCCCAGCAGGGGGGGGCGCCTGTGCGCCCTGCCCATAGTAATCGTACCCTCCCCCTGCTGGTGCGCCTCCTGCTGGCTGCGCGGGTGGCTGTGCGGCTGGCGGCTGCTGCGCTGGCGGGGCAGGCGGGGGCTGCTGCCCCCCTGGTGGTGCGCCCGCGCCCCACCCCCCCTGCTGCTGGTACTCCCCGCCTCCTCCCGCCTGCGCCCCGTATCCCCCCCCGTAGCCCTGCCCTTGCCCGTACTGCTGCGGCGGCCCCCCGTACTGCCCCTGGCTGTACCCTCCCCCGTATCCCCCGCCCTGCTGCGGCTGCTGCCCCGGGGGCGGCTGCTGGTATCCTCCGCCGCCCCCTCCGCCCTGCCAACCGCCCGGGCCCGAGCGGTAACCCCCCTGCTGCCCCCCGTACCCTCCGCCGCCTCCCCCTCCGCCACCACCGGGACCTGACCTTCGAGGCTGCATTGCCAAGGACGCGCGGGGGGGAGAGAGGGTGGACGAGCGGCGAGGGCACGAGGGCAAGCGAGCAAGAGAAGAGGCAAGAGAGGAAGGCAAGAGCGGAGGGGCCGGCATACAAGAAGCATACAACAGCAAGGGGAGTGGGGGAGGAAGGAGAAGGAGGAGCGGGGCGAAGGGAGAGACCGAAAGGAGGGAGGGCAGGACGAGCACAAGCACAGGCATGCAAGCAAGCAAGATGGGGGGGACAAGGGCAAGGCAAGGAGCGAGAGAATGCAGGAGAGCCGGGAAGGGTGGGAGGGGAACGGGGGAGCACACAAGGCAAACAAGAGACGCAGAAAGGCAGAAAATTTGGATGAAAGGCATGATCGATAATGATAGGCTCGCATGGCACTCAGATGGATCACGTCATGGGGGCGAGGGGGAGATGGGGACGGGGGGAGGGGAAGGGGGGGAAAGTGGAGGGGAGATGTAAGGGAGGTACGTACAGGGAGGCGGAGAGGGGCGGACGGAAGTCAGAGAGGGTGGGGCAACACAGCTTTTCAGCTCGACAGAGGGAGAGAAAGAGAGTCAGGACAGCAGGTGTCAACGAGACACAAGAATTCCGTAACACCACGCAATGCGAGTACGATGAGCAGCACGAGCATGAGCGAGTAACGACGGCCACGGGAGGCGAGCACGAGAGGTGTAACGACCAAGTCCATCTCAAGAGACGAGAAGCGCGTAAGGAAGGCTAACCACGAAGTCCAAGCAAGAGAGCGCGATAGATGCAAAGGCGGAGAGGCTCTGAAAGGGAAAGAGGCGCGCAGGCAGGCGGGGGGCGAGGCGTGCGAGGCCCGCAGAGGGCTGGGCTGGTGTGGTCTGGTGCGGTTTGATGTGGTGCGCAGGGCAACTGAAGGAGCAGCGCCGCGCGGCACGCAGTGACGCGCGGAGAGGGCGAGTGGCGTGGCGCGCTGAGTGCGTCCCCTGCGCTGCTGTGCTCTGCACACTAGCGACACCCACGCAGCCAGCCGTGTGGAGTGGAATCACACAGGGTGAGACGACTCTGGGCATCGCATCACATCGCATGGCATGGCATGGCACGGGATAGCACGGCACTGCATTGCATTGCATCGAACCACACGGCACAGCATTGCAAGGAAGTGCAGAGTACTGGCATTGGTATCAGGATTGTGAAGGCATCGTGAGCAGAGGTCACAGTAGAAGCGAGTCACCACAACAGAGCTACGCTTTGCATTTTGCACGAAACGGGAAGCTGATTGGGCCGCAATTGGAAGCAGCGTACATGCAGCGAGCGGGAACCGACGAGACTCGCATACACCAACGCGCCAAGAGACACGCATGACTGAGCGGTGTGGAATACAAGTCCCATAACACGCCTGTTAACGTTTCCAACCGTCACCGGCAATAGAGACAGCGGTGGTGACGATGCATGCAGAATCCACAGCACGCGCAACAGAGAGGACTCACAAAGCAAGATTGTGATGGAGAGCTAGACAGAGAGAGGGGGCGGCAACAAACAGCGACCGGAGAACGACAAGAGACGCCAAGGTACCGCACGCAAAGAACCACCCCATGTGCTCCAGAACGACGGGCCGAGGGGAGGAAGAGGGGAGAGGAGCGGGGAGGGAGGGGGAGGTGGAGTGGGGGGTGTGAAGGAAAGGCGGGAGAAGAGGGGGAAAAGAGGGTGCGCGAGGGAGGGGAAGGGGGGGAGCGGCAACTTACGTCGTCGAGGACCTCTTTGATGAGGTCCTGCGCCATGTCCGTCTGCGCCTTGCTGCCCATCAGCATCACGTTGCGCTCCGTGCACCCCGGCTCCACCTCGCGATCGCTCTGCACCTGCACGCACCGCCCACGCGCCACGGTGTCGGTGTGGGGGGATTGGAGGGATTGGGGGGGGAAGGGGAGGACGGAGGCAAGTGTGAGGAAGGAACAGGCGCGACGAGCGTCGACGGAAGGGAAACGGAAACGGACGGTGTGGAGGGGGGGATAGTCGGAGCGCGGCGAAGGGAGTGAAACGAAATTGAAAGAAAGGTGTGCCACGTGGTGTGCATGCAGTGTGACACGTCAGCAGCAGAGAGAACGCGGGCATCGATACCTGAATCCTTGCACCGGAGCGCGCCTGAAGGCTCTTAATCGTCTCTCCACCTCGACCAATCATGAGGCCGACCTGAAACAACCGCACGGAGGAGGCAACGCGCAGGGTACACGGCATTATGGAAATTAAAAGTTAGGTCTCAAAAAACAGGCGAACACAATGATAAAAAAAAGGATCCTAAGTGGGACGCGAATAGATTAAGGCGCTCATAAGGCGCACCTTGTTGTTGGGGATCTTAATCGTCACCGTCTCCCCTCCACCCTGTGCTCCAGGGTACGATCCCCCTCCGCCTCCTCCGCCTCCTCCACCACCTCCACCTCCTGCCGCTCTGGCCGCGGCTGACTGCGCAGAGCAGAAACGGGGCGAGCATGACGTTAATGCGATGAATAAGGGCCGGTCGAACGAGTCAGTCAGAGTTAAGAAATAAAAAAAGCGAGGAGAGTGAGAAAAGGGAGGATGGGAGTGGGGGAATCGGAAGGGGAACGGACGGGGGAAAAAACAAAAAAAGAATTGGCGGACGCGAAAAGGGGAGCGAGAGGGGGGAGCATTGAGGGCGCGGACCTCTTCGAGCACTTGCTTAATGAGTTGCTCCGCCTGCGCGATTTGCTCCGCCGTGCCCGTGAGCTCCACGGGGCGCGTGGGCGCGCGCGGGTCCGCCTCCATGTCGCGCGTGACCTGGATCTTGGCGCCCGACTGCGCCTGCAGGTACTTGATCGTCTCGCCGCCCTTGCCGATGATCAGCCCCACCTGTTACAGCGCGATTGCATCGCCATGTGCACGCGGGTGGTACCATCGGGGGTGGCGTACGCAATCAAGAAGCGGGGGACCGACCGATCCGAGAATGAGATTAAGAACTTGTATTTTTTAAAGTAAGAACTTACGATAGATGGTCTTATGGCGGGGACCTTAAACAATTGGCTTGCGACAGATCAAATGAGGAAAATATCTGGCACGTAAGCAGGAGCTGAGCCAGCTCCACATAAGCAACTCACCCGCGTGTTCGGCACGTCGATCTTCTTTGACTGCGTAGCGGCGCCGCCCTGTTGATCGTAGTAAGGCGCGGCGCCCCCCGGCTGCGGCTGCTGGTAGTACGGCGGCGGCTGGCTCTGCTGCTGCGCGCCAGCGCCATAGCCTGCACGCACAACACATCCTTCCATCAGCACATCGGGCAAATCACGCTGTTTTGTTTTCTTATTTTTCAGAAAAAAAAATGCTGGTGAAAATACGCCTGAGAATAAAATGTAGGAGTTATAGGCGATTTAAAAGGTTGTTACCAGGCGGACCTTGCGATCCGGGAGGACCGGGCGCGAAGCTCGCCACACCACCCGGCGGGCCTCCGCCGTTCGCGCCGCTCACGCCGGGAGGAGCCACGGCGGCGGCAACGCCTGCGGGCGGCCCGTCGTCGAACTTGGACCGCTTCGCGCCTCCCGCGTTAAGAAACTTCTGCGCGAGCTCTTCCGCCTTGCGCTTCGCCTGATCGAAATCAGACAGCGCGATCGGTGCCCCGGTGGTCTGCGCAGCCGGGGGAGTTGTCGCGGGGGGTGCGACGGGCAGCGCTCCTGGAGCGGCAGGCGGAGCAGTCGCGGCGGCGGCCGGCGCACCAGGCGCAGAGTCTGGAGGGGTAGAAGTGGGCGCGGGTGCGTCCTGAGAGGACTGTGGAGGTGCGGTGTCAGCCATGGCGAAGATTAAAGGACGCTAAACAATGACTTCAGGAGGAACCAATAGATCGGAGCAAAAAAGAAGTTTGAGCGAGGGAGGGAAGATCGAAGAAAGGCACTAAATTGTGAGTCGTGGTGGTTGGGCGGGAAAGTGGTGGAAACCGCCTGTAGTCACTGTGCGACGTGACACTTTCGATTCGACGTTACAAATCTCTGTATCAATAAGTGAAAGGCACCTTATATTTGTTGGTTCAATACCCACAAAAATCTCATTACGCTCTCTCCCAAGTGTGTCGCAGTCTAAATCTGCTGCAATGCCACCCTCGTGCATTATAGTGCACGAGGAACAAAAATTGACATGTGCACAACCCGAGGCCCTCCAAACCAAACCGCACACCACCTTCACACCAAGACACCACACCGCAACCGCCACTGGCCCCATGTTGACCCACCCAGATCCACTCATGGGCCCCACTACCCCTCACTTTCTGCATGAGTATGAGAGTCAAACATCAAAGTCGTCAATCTCATTGCCTGTGGACGAGGCAGATGAGGTGGAGAGCGAGGGCGGGAAGTAGGGGCCTTCGCAGTCAGGAGCATAAGGATACTTCCTCCACCGGGTGGTGCACCCCACACACACCCACAGGGGGTTGTACCCTGGGTAGTCTGTGAGATGGTCCCCTCCCAGCACACACTGTGCCATGCGCATGCCTGCCACCAGCGGAGCTGATGGGAAGCCGTACACGATGGGAACAAAGCGCGACCTGCGGCACTGGGGGCACTGCGCTGCCCTCTCACTCTCCAGCCGCTGCCGAAACGCCTCCTGCCACGACAACGGTGCCGCAGTGACTGATGGCGACTGCTGCTGGTCTGGATGCAACGGACGAGCTGAAAAGAAACGAGAAGGAAAGGGAGTACAATAATTAAAACGAGGAGCACGAATAAGCCGTGGATGGGAAGGTCAAAACAAGCGGCTCTGCATCGTGTTGGTGACTTTCGTGTTACACACACTACCTGCATTTCACCACTGCTACTCACCGGCACATTCCTTCCCACATGTAAATCCACCCTGGTTGAGCCTGCTTACGTCTGTGCAACTTGGTGCCACCTTTCCACTTGTGCAGTCTCTTGCCCACTCTCCCTCTCTCACCTGAGGTATCTCCACCGCTGCTGTCATCTCCCTGTGCTAGATCGGCTCCCTCATGCACTTGCTCATCCGTCCTCTGCTGCTCCACTGCGCTTCTGCTGCTAGTAACCGTCCTGCTCTCTTTCTGCTCCTGCTCCGGTTTCTGCTGCTCCTGCTCCTGCTGCTCCTGCTCTTGCTCCAGCTGTTGCTCTTGCTGTTGCTGCCGCCGCTGCTGCATAATAGCTTGAGTGGCAGAGTGCCCCCATCGCAGCAGAAACAGTTGCTTCCAAAGGCAATCACTGCGCGCCACTGCCTGCCACGCGGAGCACGTGAGCAGCACGGCGGCCAGGTCTTCAAACGCCAGCCGAGCAAACACCGACTCCAAGATCCCTTCAGGCACACTCTCCCACTCCGCCGCCCCCACGCCGTCCACTTCGCCTTGCCCCTCCGCCTTCCCTTCCCCATGCCGCTCCGCTGCGCCCTGGCGCTCTTTCTCTGCGTCATCCGCGCCTCCCTCGTCCGCCTGCTCCTGCAGCTGGGGCATCAGCGCTACCGCCTGCTGCCTGCCGCCTACTGCTGTCAGCCGATCAGCACTCTCTAGAACCGCTACCCCTCCTTCCGCCAACATTCCTGGCGACACCGGCGATAACAATCCAGGCAATACCTGCGACACAGACTTGACGCTCGAAGCGGCAGAGGTCAGCGCACACAACCCTCCTCCCCGCGCGTCCACTTCTTCCGCCGCACCTGCTTTCCTCCCTGCGGCGGACACCTCGTCGCAGCCCGTGAGCGCTGCATCTGGAGTGCCAGCCACGACCGTGGTACCGTACGCGGACAGCGACGAGAGAATGCATGCGCACGGTCGCGGACGGCTGCTTGCGCCGGCGGAAGGGGGAGGAGAGGCGGCGGAACATGTGAGGTCTCTACTGTCCGCCTCTAAAGACATCGGTCTGCGCGCTGCGACGGCTGCTTCTGCGTGCGGGATTCCTTGCCTCGACGACTCTGCGTCGACAGGAGATGCGACGCCGTGCGCAGCGGCAACCGGTAACTCGGCGCGAGCCCTAATCTGCGGGTCTAGGGTTGGCCAAGTTGACCGGTCCGCGCACGGCGAGCCTGCTAATACCGTCGCTCCTTCTAATCCATCAACTACAGTTCCCGTGACAGGACCTTCAGCCCTTTCAGGTGCCGCAAACCCCGCATCTCCCGATACGCTTGCGGAATCTGCTGCATCCGCTCTCCTCCCGCGCGCGGAGCTCTCGATGGAAGAAGCCGATCGGTACGAATCGCGCGGTACGGGCCGAGGAGCGAAATCCGGGCAGGATGAGCCGGACATGAGCTCTTCGCGTAGGTAGCGGTTGACCGCCCAGTGGACCTTACCGCGCACGGCGCGCAGGTGGTTCAGGAGACGGGATGTGGACGCAAAGGGGCCGAGCAAGGAGCGCATTTGACGGAGCAGCTCCGCCTCGCCGACGACACGGTCCACGGGCGCTGCGAAGCGTGAGGTGCGCGCTGCTGGCATGATGAAGGGCTCGTTAAAGAGTGGCGGAGGAAGCGGCGATGCTAACTCAGCAGGCGGCAACGGCAACGGTGACAGGGGTGCAGAGCTTGACGACGGATGCTCCTGAGACGCCATTAGGTTTCTTGTCAGAGATTACTTTTACGTCCAGACCAGACCTAATCCACAAGCTCAGAACTAAACAAGCTGTGCTAAGCTATAGAACTTCGGTGAAGGGAGATGGCCGATTTTAGATGGAATGGCTGTGGTGATCATTCCAAAAAATACACATCAGCAGCAAGAAGAGCAGAGCTGCAGCAGTGGTGAGAGGAAGGAGGGATATGAGGTGATGTGGATGGGGAGGCATGACATCACGGGTAGAGGCATCGTCGAGCGATGTGCGACGACAGTGGGGTCGCACGGGCAAAACATCCCGCGTCTGTGTGAAAAGCGGCAACCTCCGGAACAATAAATAGTAAACACAAACAGTAACACAAACTCGCATCGCAACTTATCGCAGCGGCTGATATTGACGGAGCATCTCCACGACTGGTGAAGGTTGAAAGTATCAACCACACGTTCTTTACGCCACAGAGCCACCCCCCCTTGGTTCAGGTTCAGGTTTGGTTAAGGTGGAGGTTGGTAAAGGTGTTGGTGAATGTCCCTAAAAAATTTTTGGTTGGTATAGGTAGGCTCTGTGGCACTTGCACCATTGCAGCACTGTCCATTTCTGCATGCTTGGTTTACTGCTCATTACTAACCTAGTTCCTTTGATATCCTTGCAGGTTCTATTCAAGCCACGCTCCAGATGGTGTCAGAGGAGCACCTCACGGCTAAGCTCCAACTTTCAAACTTTGCAAGATAAGTTTCAATCTTGAGCCTTTTCCGTGCTTTCTCGCTCGAATGCTATTCCACTGGTAACTCCACGCTTGCTGAGTCCTTTTTTGTCGAGTTGTGCTTCAACTCTACAGTCACTGACTTGTTTCATATTGCCTCATGGCAGGTTCTCCGAGCGCCATTAACACGCCATGGACCCCCAAGACCTTGCGCACCGCTGCACTCCAGCAAGCCCAAGATCCATGGGAGCTCCATGGCATGCTGAAGCGCCTCAACGCTCAGCACCACTCCACACTCCAAGCTGCTTAACCTCAGATAAGTTTCATCCCCTACCCTCGAGCTCCTTTTCTCATGCACATGGCTTTATTGTGTTTATTGATTTGCTTTGATGCATGCTGGTTTTTTGCCTTCTCTTTTTTATTATGGACTACTGTTTATCTTTTTTCTGCCTGCAGGTGCCTTCATGGGCGGCAAGTCCCAGTGGGTGGCAAGCCATGGCCTGCTGAAGCACCGCTCCACACTCCAAGCTGCTAACCCACAGATAAGTTTCAGCCCCTACCTTTGAGCTCTCTTATTCATGCACATGGCTTTTTTTGTTTGTTGATTTGCTTTGGTGATGCTGTAGTTTTGCTTTCTGTTTTTTATCATGGACTAATCTTTATCTTCCTTCTGCCTGCAGGTGCCTTCATGGTCGGCAAGCCTGCAAGCCATGTGGCCAGTGCACGAGAGGGTGAAGCTTTGAGCATTGGCTGGGGACTCGATTCCGGGCCAAACCGGACTGGTTCTGTCCCCTCCCGCCCCCACCAAGTGACAAAACTGTCTGGCCAGCAGTGATGTCATTTGGTGGAGGTGGGGGTGGGCAGAGCCAGTCCCTAGTAGGGCACCCGCACGTCTTGGTCCTGGCAATGCTCAAGGCTCACTGCCAGTCCATGCCAGGGTGGGCATGGATGGCATGCTGCCATGGAGTAGCTGTGGACCTGTGGTTGATAGGAATAGACAGAATTTCATTGGTTGAGTGTACCTCTGAATATTAATTCATTTTTATAAGGGTACATTCCGCTGTATAATATGTCCCAATCGATGTGTTCCAATCGATTGAGGCGCGTACGTACAGCATATGCTGCCAGGTGTCGGAATGCCGTGCCGCCCGTGGTTGTCGCCGACTGTATTTATCATTGGGTGGCGTGTATCACGGAACAATCGCCAGCTAATTAAAACACACCCAACCAATCGCACGCGGCCCAGATGTCATCTCATGCAGCATGTATCTGGACGACATTTTTGGGCCCACTCTATCCCGATCAACGCGTACACAGCCTGCCGATTGGTCGAAACGACCTTTCCAGAATTATTGACAGGGACACGCACCCCCCCGACATTGCGCCTTCCGCCAGTTCCAGTGCACCTCCCCCACAACTCCTCCGCCTCCCCATCCCTTACGAGGTCAAGTTTGTGCAACAGCTGCTAAGTACCAATCTGTGATTCTCTCACAGCCTCCGCTCCCTCTAGTTCTAGATCTAGACACCTTCTACCCACCAGCATGGCTCGTAAGCGTAAGGGGCAGGCCCTTAACGACTGCCCCAAGGATCTAAACGACATTCCGTACATCCGCTGGATGAACCAGCAGATCGCCAACGGTCGCCATCCTAGGGGATTATCCGCGCCGCCCGTGCTTGACGGCCAGGGATCCACTGCCCAGTCGCCCACAGCGGCCCCGTCACGTGTGCGCCGTCAGCCTGCAAGGACGGCAGCAACGTACCGGCCAGTCGTGGAGCAATACGATGACGATGCTGACGACGACGACCGCGAAGAAGGGGATGACTCCGATGACGAGGAGGAGGAGCCTGAAGACCAGGGAATGTCGCCCAGCGACGACGACGAAGACGACGACGACGATGAGGATGCCGAGGAGGACGCCCCGGAGGAAGCACAGCCTGTCGCTCCGCCGCCGATACGGAGCGCCGCACGCAAACAAGGGTCTGACAAGGGCAAAGGCAAGGCTGCGCAACCTGCAGCGCGCCCGGAGCCACGGAAGAAACGTGCGGCAGCACCTGTCGAGCGCGGCTTATGGTCTGACAAGGAGAGCACCATTTTCGCCGCGGCGAAATGGTTCTTGAAAGATGAGCTCGAGCCACTCAAGGGGAAGTAGGGGACGCAATACTGGGCCCGGCTGCTTGCACACATCAAGGAGTCGAACCCCGGATGGTGCAGGGGAGTCAACGCACTGCAGAAGCAGTGGCGTAACTTGATGCTCCTTTGGCGGGAGTACAAGCGTGCCGACGGGGGTTCGGGCAACGGCTCGGTGGAGAAACCACCATGGTATCCGTACATGGAGCTGCACAACCAAGACACTGCCGCAGCCTCACCGCATGCGGTGGACGGTGGAGGCGCGACCAACGTCAACGTGCCGGCCGGCATGGAGGTTCCAACTTCGTCCCAGCCAGGCACGTCAACGCCATGTTTTACGGGTGAGACATGATCCCGGTTCCATGTTGTTTGGTTCGCATGCTTGCCATACAACTTCTAGTTTCAAACTGCTGTTTAGACTATCGGCTAACATGCACGATACATCGTCATTGTGTGCACCTACCAATCTAAACTTCTATCTTCCCGTCTTCTCTTGTTTCTCAGCTCCGCCGCCGACGAACACTGCCACACCCAAGCGCGCCCGGGTGCATGAGACGGCTACCATGCAAGCGGCGATGTTGGTGTCCGCCACAATCAAGGACTGCCACGGTGATGCGATGAGAGTCGTTGAAGGCCTCGTCCGAGAATGGATGGCGCAAGACCTGCGACTTGCCCGCGAGCGCATGACTGAATCGGCTCCCCCGGATGTGCACCGTGCGCCGCCAGATTTCTCCCCTCCACCGCCACGCGGGGAGTCCGCGCCACCCCCCGAAGCCGCACAGCCGCGGGAAGATATGGGCGACGTCAACACCGTCACTCCGGCTGATGAGGATGTGGAGATATGGGTGCGCGGCGCCGCCGATTAGAGTAAGAGTCCTGGAGTGCCTCTTCCAGCCGGTTTCCGCCTCTCCCTCAGTGCCTGTTGTGTTGGTGGGACACACGGTTCCCACTTGTGTGTCGCAATAGCTCCCCGCGTCCACCATGGATCGCGGGTTGCGGGGAAGGTTCTCCCATGCCATGTTTTTTGCGCCTTACCTCCTGCATCTCTTCACACATGTTGTGCAGGATCACACAACACGCGGCCCCAGCGAGAATGCGCCACAACCTGCAGTCGTTGCGCTGGGCGAAGATGCGCCATCTCCCTTTGAAGGCGCCGATGCACCTCTCCACCGCCATGCGTGTGGCGCTCTGACAGTAGTTGAAACATTGTGCCCAGTCGTCCATGAGGTCCTCTCCTCGAGGGGCATGCAGGGGTGTTAGGCAGTATTCTCGTAGAGGGTAGGCCGCGTCCCCGACAATTTGGTATGGGGCTATGTCCCCGTTGTGTAACCTCTCAAGTAGTGCAGACTCTTTGAAAACCCGCATGTCGTGCGCGCTACCGGGATAGCCGATCAGGTAGTCCCATATCCTGCCTCGTGCATCACACGTGAGCTGGAGTTGTACGGCATAGGCCGACTTCCTTGTCCAGTACTCCGCTCTGTGACCTTCCATCCCTTTCATGTGGATATGAGTCCCGTCCACAGCCCCCACCACAGCAGGTACACCTTTGATGGCAGCAAATTCCCGTGCCATCTCGGGAAGCTCTTCGCGTGTGGGGAAGCGCACTCAGGCGGCCTTGAAGATTGAGGGGAACTCAGTGAGGAACACGTCGACAACCTCGTGGCAAAGTGTCTTGGAGACGCCGAACAGGTACGACATGTCGACGTAGGAGATTCCTGACGCCAGGTACTTGATAGGGATGAGCACCGCGGTGTCCATTGTGAGTATTGACCGGTGCACTATTGGCTCCAGATAGAGTTGCATCCCGGTTTTGATATGCTCAAGTATGGCACGGTTTATCCTGAAAAAGGTCTTGGAAATCGTTCTCCCGCATGTGCTGCAGGTCTTCAACCCACAATGCATGACCAGGCCCCTAGATTCGTTTTGAGGTAGTCTGAGGCCTCAGAGTACACCCCTCTTGGAACTCTGTCTGTCAGAGGTGCCTCAAGATTTTAGTCTGAAAATTCAGACAAACACATTTTTTTTTGTCTGAACTGTCAGAGTTACTTCAAATTTTAAGATGTTCATGCAGTTTCGTAAAAGCAGTTATAATAGCATTGAGGCTGATTACAGCCTACCATACCAACGCATCAGGCAACGTGCTCGTGCTCGTGCATCGCCTTTGCTCATGTCGGCGGCATTCCAGTGTTTTTGTCACGTGCAGCGCATGGTTGTTTCTGCTCTGCTGATCTCATTTCGTTTTGTCGTGTGTGTGATTACCGTTCTGTACCCATTTTCTCGCATGTGTGCCGATTTTGTCAGTTTTGGATTTGTTTTTCAAGCGATTCGATCGTTCACCCGATCTGTATCAGGTGGGCCAAGTGCCACGCAGCTGAGCTGGCAGCAGGCAGAAAACTGTTGCTTGGCGTGGCATGTGAGGATCAAACAGTGCCACACGAAACTTTCAGTACGAATCAGGAACTTCGCAATTCACACCAGTGCGTGCTGCAGATGTTTTTACAGCGAATCAGCATCAAAGTCGCCTATTCTTTACAATACATTAGCGATAACTTACATGTGACGAGATTTTGTCTTCAGAAATCTCGTAATCACGCAACCATTTCCTCAGCGTAACTGGAAGATATTCTCGACGAACGAGTGTATTTAGATGTCCCAGCTGTCGAAGTGAGCGTTTGCTCACGTCCTGGCACTCCACTGCCATCTCGGAAGTGGGCATATCGGAAGGAAACTTCCAGGAAACTTTGAACCGATAAGCGCGCAGAGTGTACCCCCGATACAAGTCTGAGGCTCAGCCTACCCTAGTAAAATTAGGCTGAAATTTCAGACAACTCATAAGAAAAAACTCTGGAAAATCAGACAAGGTACATAAATAAATTCTTTGAGTTCAGACTAGGTACAAAAAAAAAGTCTGAACGGACTCTGATTCAGACTCCAAAGTCTGATATCTAGGGCACTGTGCATGACGTCGCCGCCGTACTCTCGCTCTGTGACGGCGGTTCTCCCCGTAATCGTCCCCGAGCGATGAGGACTGCTCGTCAGCGTCCTCGAACACTCCCGACTCTATCAGGCCTACGAAGGACTTCGCGACGTTTTCGTAGAAAACGGTGTAGTAGTAGGTGACCCATGCGACGAGGAGGCGTAGGATGAAGGGGATGGTTTTAGGCTCTGCCATGGTGTGTGGGTTATGAATGCGTAGTTATGTAGTATGTGCATACTTCGATTAAAACCGAAATATAAAATAGTGAAGGCGGATCCAACTTGAAATCGTGCTCGGAAGAAGCAAAACTGGAACGACGATGGGCTGTGTAAAAACACTGTTCCGGGCATCGCCCTTCCACAGACTGAACACACGTGATTCGTTCCCGCCAAAAAAAAAAAAACAGATCGTGCTCGCGCGTTCGCATTTTCTGCATGCGACATTTGCACGACAGTTGTTTGTCGTGCGTTTTGATGGTTGGACCCGACTTCGACTTTCAAGCTGGGCCTGGGTTCCACATATGCTTACTTCAACTCCATTCACGTAGCTTGCCTAACTCACGGAGCTTGCCTAGCATAGAATAGCCAGAGACGAGGGATTAGGCTGATGCGGCATAGAAATGAAATTATCATTAGATTGTTTGTGATACTTCGTCGCCGTTGCTGCGTAGTGATATTTTCCTCGCGATCACAGAGAACCCCATTCCCGTCGCCATTCCTCTCACCCCTCTCATCGCCCACTATGCTATCCTCGAGTTCGCCAAATCGCCCCACCCGTCTCCCTTTCCGTCGCGCGTCACGTCGCCATCTCGTCGCCCGTCCCGTCGCCCTCTTCGTCGCCCTCTCTCCCCTCCTCTCCTCCCGTCGGCCTCTCTCTCGCCCCTCCCTACCGATCGCCCTCCCGTCGCTCGCCCCGTCGCGCTCTCTCTCTCCGCTCCCTTCCCGTCGCCCTCTCTCTCGCCCCTCCCTTCCCGTCGCGCTCTCTCTCTCCGCGCCCTTCCCGTCGCCCTCTCTCTCGCCCCTCCCTTCCCATCGCTCTCTCTCTCTCTCCGCTCCGCCCTCTCTCTCGCTCCTCCTTCGAATCGCGCTCTCTCTCCGCTCCCTTCCCGTCGGCCTCTCTCTCCGCTCCCTTCCCGTCGCGCTCTCTCTCTCCGCTCCCTTCCCCTCGCCCTCTCTCTCGCCCCTCCCTTCCCGTCGCGCTCTCTCTCTCTGCTCCCTTCTCGTCGCCCTCTCTCTCGCCCCTCCCTTCCCGTCGCGCTCTCTCTCTCCGCTCCCGTCCCATCGCCCTCTCTCTCGCCCCCTCCCTTCCCGTCGTGATCTCTCTCTCCGCTCCCTTCCCGTCGCCCCTCTCTCTCGCCCCTCCTACCCGTCGCGCTCTCTCTCTCCGCGCCCTTCCCGTCGCCCTCTCTCTCGCCCCTCCCTTCCCATCGCGTTCTCTCTCTCCGCTCCGCCCTCTCTCTCGCTCCTCCCTTCGAATCGCGCTCTCTCTCCGCTCCCTTCCCGTTGCGCTCTCTCTCTCCGCTCCCTTCCCATTGCCCTCTCTCTTTCTGCTCCCTTCCCATCCTCCCTTCTCGCTCGCCTCGAATAGCCCTCCCGGCGACCTTCGACTCTCCCATCACGTATGCCCTCCTTTCTCCGTCGCCTCTCTCGTTCTCCCTCTGCTATCGCGTCAGCGTGACCCATTCCGTACTCTGTTATTGTGTTTGGTTTGTTTGTTTTTTCTGTCTTTCCATCTATTCTCGACACCCTCTCTCTCCGCCGCCTATCCTCTCTCCCGTCGCCCTCCCGTTTCCCGTCGCCCTCCCGTTTCCCGCCCCCCTCCCGTTTCCCGTCGCCCTCCCTTTTCCCGTCGCCCTCCCGTTTCCCGTCGCCCTCGCGTTTCCCGTCGCCCTCCCGTTTCCCGTCGCCCTCCGTTTCCCGTTGCCCTCCCTTCTTCCGTCGCCCTCCCTTTTCCCGTCGCCCTCGCGTTTCCCGTCGCCCTCCCGTTTCCCGTCGCCCTCCCGTTTTCCGTCGCCCTCCCGTTTCCCGTCGCCCCTCCCGTTTCCCGTCGCCCTCGCGTTTCCCGTCGCCCTCCCGTTTCCCGTCGCCCTCCCGTTTCCCGTCGCCCCCCTTCTTCCGTCGCCCTCCCGTTTCCTACGCCCTCCCTTCCAGTCGCCCTCCCGTTTCCCGTCGCCCTCCCTCTTTCTCTTCATTCGCGTCACCTTGCCCATCATAATTTCCCCCCTATTACTTTTTTTTCTCTTCTGTTTCCCGTTATTGCACCTCTCCCAGGCCTCAAGTCCAAGGCAGCACATTGATCAGATCTCTACTAGCTCTAATAACGTTCAAACACTTTCACTCTCATCACGTACATGTGTGTCTGCTTGGGATTTAGCGTGAGATGTTTCCTAGTTGTGAATTTGGTGAAGTATTGGCTCTAGTGAATGCAGTGTCAGAGGTCCACTGGTGATCCCCGATTGATCCTAGGGAAGGGTTACAGGCACGTTGGCCTGGGGGGTTATGGGCGCACTGACCCGCTACTTAAACAAGCCCTTTTATCCCAATGGTCTAGTGGTTGGGATTCTGACATGGTATCAGAGCGAAGGTCTCGGGTTCGAATCCCGATGTATGCACTTCGGGCATCCCAGTGCGGGGGGGTGTCAGAGGTCCACTGGTGATCCCCGATTGATCCTAGGGAAGGGTTACAGGCACGTTGGCCTGGGGGGTTATGGGCGCACTGACCCGCTACTTAAACAAGCCCTTTTATCCCAATGGTCTAGTGGTTGGGATTCTGACATGGTATCAGAGCGAAGGTCTCGGGTTCGAATCCCGATGTATGCACTTCGGGCATCCCAGTGCGGGGGGGTGTCAGAGGTCCACTGGTGATCCCCGATTGATCCTAGGGAAGGGTTACAGGCACGTTGGCCTGGGGGGTTATGGGCGCACTGACCCGCTACTTAAACAAGCCCTTTTATCCCAATGGTCTAGTGTGTGAATTAAGAAAACAGGAATGAAAATGACTAAGTGAAAGTTGGGTACAAAAAGCAAACCCTAGACAACTGTACCCCATATGTGCTACCCCACTATAGCCTACAGTAGCTATGTCATATAAATCTGACACACCCCCATAGGCAAAGTGGGGGAGAACAAGGGGTCACAAGACCAGTCAAGCAAAGCAAAACAAGCTCAGGGTGGATCACAAAGTCACCACACATTCCGAGCACAAGTTCAAGGCCACAAGGCCAGTTCACATACAGGATTGCATATACATATATATAAGACTAGACAAGCAAGAGCAGGGGTATATATATATGCAACAGTACAAACAAGGTCAAGGGGTGAGCAAGTGAGGCAAGGTAGGCACAAGACCAAGCTGAGTACAGAAGCGCTGATGATCACAAGGCGCAAGTGCCTTGGTGAAGATATCAGCAGTGTTGGCCTCAGAGGCCACGTACGCAAGCCGCAGCTGACCACGCTGCTGTAGCTCACGAGCAAGGAAGTAGCGGAGAGCAATGTGCTTCGTTCTGTGTTCCAGTCTCTGCTCTCGACACAAGGCCAGCATGGCCTTGTTGTCTACGTACAGCACTGGAGGAGAACGAGGCGGCTCTCCGAGGTCAGTCAGCAGGTAGGTGAGCCAGCGAAGCTCCTGTGCAGCCATGGCCCCGGCGTAGATCTCAGCCTCACAACTGGAGCCGAGAACAGAAGACGAGCGGGTAGCCCGCCACGAAACAGAGCCGGAACCAAGGCTGAAGGTGTAACCCTGTGACGACCGCTGCGTAGCCTGGTCGTCAGCCCAAGAAGCGTCTGCGTGCCCAGTGAGGACCACTGGACTCTGCCCTCCAAGCACAAGCCCCATGCCCGACGTACTGCACAAGTAGCGCAACACCCTCTTCGCTGCAGCCATGTGCTCCGGTCTGTGTCTCCCAGGAGCAACATAGCGTGCAAGAATGCTAAGAGGGTATGCAAGGTCAGGTCGTGTGCAGGTCATCAGGTACATGAGGCAGCCAACAAGCTCTGGGTACGGACCACTCGACTCTACGGACTCATCCGAAGGCAGAGCTGAGAGCGAGTGGCGAGTAGGCAGAGGAGTGGCCTGAGGCGAGGAGTACGTGAAGCCGAAGCGCTGAAGGACCTGCTGCACCATGTGTGACTGAGTCAGGGTAATGGTGCGGCGTGCTCTGTCCCGGGTGATCTGCAAGCCAAGGTAGCTGCGCAGTTCACCCAGGTCTGTGCACGTGTGTCTCTTCTGCAGCTCGGACTTCACGTAGGCGAGTCCAGCAGTGTCAGCTGTGGCAAAGACCAAGTCGTCGACGTACACGAGGATGTAGAACGGCGGCAGAGAGGTGTCGGTGCGTAGAAACAGCGACGGGTCGGCAGTAGAAGGAGCAAACCCAAGAGCCGCAAGTGTAGTCCTCAGTGTGTCGTGCCACTCACGGGGCGCCTGGCGGAGACCGTAGACTGGACGCCGGAGACTCCACTGGGTACCAGAAGGGAAAGACCCAGTGAAGCCAGGTGGGCGACGCAGCCAGATCTCCTCGTGCAGGCTGCCCTGCAAGAAAGCTGTGCTGAAGTCAAAAGAGTGCAGCTCGTAGTCACGGTGAGCAGCAACGTGCAGCAGTACCCGAAGAGTGGTCATCTTCGGGGTGGGGGAGAAGGTCTGAAAGTAGTCAACTCCCTGCCGCTGACTGAAGCCACGAGCCACGTAACGCGCCTTGAAGACAGGCGGAGAACCCGGCGGCCGCTTCACCCTGAAGATCCACATGCCACTGACGATGTTCGCCCCAGGCGGGGGAACCTCGTCAACGTAGGTGCCTGTGGACTTCCAGGAAGCCATCTCTGTGTCCATAGCTGCCTGCCACTGAGAGGAGTAGGGACCCTATATCGCCTCCGCGTAAGAGCGCGGAGTCGGGATGTCAAGTGCATCCGGGTCTCCCTCAGGGGTAAGCAGTACGGATACGAGATGAGGTGAAGCAGCAGCCAAACACTGGAACTCCTCCTGCCTGTCCTCAAGGACGTCCGTGCCAAGGGCACACTCACCCCCGACGGACGGAGGACAGACAGACTCAGACTCAGCAACAAGACGAGCAGCGTAGTCTAGACGACAGCGAGCAGCAAAGTCGACGAGCTCAGTAACTAGGGCAGACGCAGCAGTGGACTCAAAGGAAGGGTCAGTGACAACAGTAGCAAGGAGACGCGTGACAGTAGGACTGGCAGCACGAAGAGAGTCCGACTCCGGGTCAGGAAGAGCAGGAAGAGAGGACTCAGGAGGAGAAGGAAAAGGGGCACGCAGAGGAGCAGTGGACGGACGCAGAGACATCCGGTGCGTGCCAGGGACAGGAGGAGGACGCTGACAGCGAACCACGACCACTAGTGCGAGCAGCACGGACAGGCGACGCAGGGCGAGACGCTGGCTCACGACGCTCAGCAAGACCTCCAGTAGGACCAGTGTAGGGAGAAGGAGCAGGCAGTGGGGAGGCCGGCTGTAACTGTAACTGTGACGGGACAGGCTGTGGACACTCTAAGGGAGGAGGAGGACCAGTAGAAGGCGGGAGACCAAGAACCTGCTGAAGGAGCGGAACGAAGTACGGTCGAGGCCGCGCGGCGACTCCAGACACAGCAGGGACAGCACCAGTACCCCCAGCGGCAGCACCAGCACCAGCAGCACCTCCAGCTCCAGTACCTCCAGCAGCACCAGTAGCACCCCCAGCAGGACCGCCTCCAGGACCGACAGCAGTAGCCTCAGCGCCAACACCCTCAGCAGCTCCAGCTCCAGTCGTACCCGCAGGCCCAGCAGCTCCAGTACTCCCAGTACGAGCACCTCCGGGACTGGCGGCACCAGCACCCTCAGCAGCCGAAGAACCTCCAGATCCAGCAGCACGCCTCCAGCGCCGGGCAAACCACTCGCGCAGCTCCTGTGGAGAGAGTGGCTCCCGCCGAGACGAAGCACCCGGAGAACCTCCAGGCTCAGCACCGCCAGACGCCACACGAGCAGGCCCAGCTCCCTCAGGCTCCGCACCCCCAAGCTCAGCACCTCCAGGCGTGGCACCCCCAGGCTCAGCACCCCCAGGCGTAGCACCCCCAGGCTCAGCACACCCAGGCTCAGCACCCCAGGCTCAGGACCCCCAGTAGTAGCACCCTCAGGCTCAGCACCCCCAGAGTCAGCACCCCCAGGCTCAGCACCCTCAGCAGCACCAGAGTCACCAGTAACCTCGACAGGCTCGACTGCGTCTACCTGGGACACACCTGAAGGGGCAGGACCCTGAGGGGGGAGGGGGTCTACCGGGGGGGGACCTGGTACAAGGAAGAGCGGTGGCGGGGGGAGGGACGGAGTGCGGTAGGGGAAGAGGCGGTAGTAGGGGACCGACTCGTCAAACGTGACGTCCTGGGAGGACAGAACACGGCGAGAGGTGGGGTGGTAGAACTGCCACCCTGGCGCGTCAGGGGGGAAGCCAAGGAAGACGCAAGGAGCAGCACGAGGGGACAGCTTGTCCGCAGACAAGTCACGGACAAACGCCCGAGATCCCCAGACACGGAACGCAGACGCATCGCCAACCTTCCCCGTCCACAGCAAGGCTGGGGAGGTCTCCGGCATGGAGACCCTGGTGTGAAGGTTGATCTGATGCGCCGCGTACCGAACCGCAAACGGCCACAGAAAATGGGGGGCAGCCGCATGCATCATGGACGTACGGGCGACGTCCATGACCATGCCAATGCGGCGCTCAGCAATCCCATTTTGCTGTGGAGAGTCCGGAAGCGTGAAGGTCTGGCGGATACCTCGTGCACGACAGTAGGCTCGCAGAAGGCCAGAGGAGAACTCTCCACCTCTGTCAGAGTGCAGACGCTGAACAGGAAAGTCCGAGCTGAAGCTCTGCCTGAGCTGGAGACGAGCTGCGCGGATCCAGTCGATCAACACCTCAGTGACATCGCCCTTGCTGCGCAAGGGGAAGACTGTGGTGTAACGCGAGTAGTCGTCAACCACCAGCAGGAAGTAGCGCTCGTGACCCTGTCCACGGACGCGGGCCGGGCCCCACACATCCATGTGAAGCGTCTGCAGCGGGGCCTCTGTCGGAGGAAACTGGGAGGAGTGAGGGGCAGCCCGCTGCCGCCCCTCGACATAGGGGACGCAGGCAGGGCCAGGCCCCGGAGGAAGGGGAGGGAGGGACCGGGGAAGACCAGAGACAAGGACACGGGAGGCCATGCCTCGGAGACGAAGCAAGGAGGGGTGACCAAGGCGGTGGTGCCAGAGGAGAGTCTCGTGAGACAGGAGGCGACACGAACAGGGGGCAGACTCAGGACCAGATCTGGACGCTGCAGCAAACACCTGACCCGACGCAGCTACCTGACCAGACGCAGTGACTGGAGGAGACTCAGTGGTCAGGGTGTACAGGCTCGACCCCGGCCGACGGGTAAACGTGGCCAGGTGGCGGCCTGTCCGAGCGTCCGTGCAGTGGGTCACCCGCTGACTCGCAGGAGTGAACTGGTGAACCCCCGCATCCTGTAGGTCAGCACCACTCACCAAGTTCGTAGAGAACGAGGGAAGGTAAAGACCAGACAGGGTGCCAGAGGGGGCCGCCGGACACGGGAGGACAGTGGAGAAGTGAGCAAGGACAGGACCCCCAGAGGGGTCTGCCAGAGAGACTGCAACTGGCCGGCCAAGCGGCGTGAGTGTGGTGCGGTCTCGAAAGAAGGAGCGAGAAGCCCCCGAGTCAAGGGTGAAGGTGTGGGAGGCCGAAGCCGACGCAGAACCTGAGAGAGCAGACTCACCAGCACCTGAGGGAGCAGACGCACCTAGAGCAGCAGCCTCGCTAGCACCTAGAGCAGCAGCCTCACCAGTACCTAGAGCAGCAGTCTCAATGCCCGGGTCGGGCGGAAAACACCGGTAACAGTCACCCTCATCACTAATAGTCACAGTATACATGGCAGCAATAATAGCATCAAAGTCAAGGTCAAAGACAGCTACACCCGCCCTAGACAGCTCACCCCAGCGGGGGATCTCAGTGGCCTCAGGGAACTGGTGACGCCAAGCGTCCGTCAGGCGGCCAAAGCAGCGCTGGGTGGAGTGCGCACCCCCGCACTGCTCACCCGCGCGGTCGCCGGTGCGGAGGACGTAGGTGCACGGACCAGTACCCCCACCCCTCTGGCGTGCAGCGTACCACTCACGGAGCTGCTGAGGGGAGGGGATGTCACGAGTGCGCTGCTGCTGCTGCTGCTGCTGCTGCTGCTGGCGCTGACCACCACCGGAGCCGACCCTCTGCGCAGCGCCACCCCGACCAGCTCCACCTCCTCCGCCGCCTCCTCCTCCACCGCCGCCACCTCCGCTCCCACCGCCACCGCCGCCGCCCGCCTCCGCCTCCACTGCCGCCACCGACGCCTCCACCCCCGCCACCACCCCCACCGCCACCCCACCCCCTCCACCGCCTCCACCTCCGCCTCCACCGCCCCCGCTAGCTCCTCCAGTGCCCCTGCCCCCCTTGCCCTTGCCAGGGCGACGTCTCCTGCTAGGGGTAGACGCCGCACCGACTGACTCAAGCCCAACGAGGTCGGCCGCAGCAGCAGAGGCAACAGAGGGCAAAAAGGGGGGAGGGGGAACACCCCTCAAAGATGGGGGTGCGAGGGTCACCACGAGAGGCTCCTACAGCGACTATGCTCTTCTCTGCTGCTAGGAGGGACTTCTCGAGGAGGTCAACGGTGAGAGTGGTGGGGCAAACTGAGAGGAAGTGGTCCCTGACTACGCGAAGGGAGTCAGGGAGCCGGGTGACTATGTAGTAGAGGGTGATGTACATGGGGGGGGGGGTTCTTGGCGCAGAACTCAGCAGGAAGCGCAGCGCGGTAGCGAGTGTCCACTAGTGCGGAGGTGCGTAATGAGGTCAGCGACTGTGGGAAAGGCAGCAAGGTCAGGGAAGAGGTACGGTAGCATGAGGGCGGCTCAGTGCAGCAGTGGCAGGGGAGGAGTAGCGCGCAACTACAGCGTCGTACAAGGTCTGAGCACTCTTGTACTGGCTAAAGTGCGCACGCTCAGAGGTAGGCAGGTGGCGACGCACAGCAAGACGTGCAGCAGCATCGCGCGTGGCCCACTGTGAGCGAACAGTGGCGTCAGCATCAGCAGCGGGGGCAGGAGAGGCACCAGAAGTGAGGTCAAAGAGGGAGAGGCCGTCTGCCCTGTCGCACTGTAAGAAAAGCTGCAGGTCATCTATCCAGACATCAAAGTCAATGGCCCGACCCTCAGCGTCAAAAGCGAGGACACTAGGGGTAGCCATGACAGTAGTAGACAAGCAGCGCAAACAGTAGGGTGAGGGCAGTGCTGTGAAAGGGGCGCTGCTCTTACCCGGACAGGGCGGCTCGGGTGGCTCGGCTGCAGGGCGGCTCGGCGGCTCGGCTGCTGGGCGGCTCGGCGGCTCGGCGGCTCGGGTGCTGGGCGGCTCGGTGGCTCGGCTGCTGGGCGCGGCTCGGCTGCTGGGGCGGTTTCGGCGGCTCGGCGGCTCGGCTGCTCGGCGGCTTCGGCGGCTCGGGGCTCGGCCTGTTCGGCTGCGACTGCTGCTGCAGAGACGGCGGCGGCTGCTGCCCTCAGGGAACGCAGCGGCCGGCCGCTAGGGGTCGCGTCAGGTGCAGGAGAGTGCCGCGTCAGGGGCGGCGTAGGGGCCGCGTCAGCGGCGGCAAGGGGCCGGGCGTAAGGGGCCGCGTCAGGGGCCGCGGCAGGGGCCGCGGCAGGTGCCGCGTCAGGGGCCCGCGTGCAGGGCCGCGGCAGGGGCGTCAGGGGCCGCGTCAGGGGCCGCGTCAGGGGCCGCGTCAGGGGCCAGCGTCAGGGGCCGCGTCAGGGGCCGCGTCAGGGGCGGCGTAGGGGCCGCGCAGGGGCCGCGTCAGGGGCCTCGTCAGGGGCCGCGGCAGGGGCCGCGTCAGGGGCGGCGTCAGGGGGGGGCGTAGGGGCCGCGGTAGTGGCGGCGGAGGGGCCGCGTCAGGGGCCGCGTCAGGGGCCGCCTCAGGGGCAGCGTAGGGGCCGCGTAGGGGCCGCGTCAGGGGCCGCGGCAGGGGCCGCGTCAGGGGCTGCGTAGGGGCCGCGTCAGGGGCCGCGTTGGGGCCGCGTCAGGGGCCGCGTTGGGGCCGCGTCAGGGGCCGCGTAGGGGCCACGTCAGGGGCCGCGTTGGGGCCGCGTCAGAGGCCGCGTAGGGGCCGCGTCAGGGGCGACGTAGGGGCCGGGTAGGGGCCGCGTAGGGGCCGCGTAGGGGTCGCGTAGGGGCCGCTAGGGGGGGGGGGGGGGCGCTAAAAAAAAAAAAAAGGGCCAGGGGCGCAATGCGCGTTCGGGCAGCTAAAAAAAAATTTCGTTATGGTGGGCCCTTAGGAAGGAACGGTCCATGTAGGAACCCGCTCTATACATGTGAATTAAGAAAACAGGAATGAAAATGACTAAGTGAAAGTTGGGTACAAAAAGCAAACCCCTAGACAACTGTACCCCATATGTGCTACCCCACTATAGCCTACAGTAGCTATGTCATATAAATCTGACATAGTGGTTGGGATTCTGACATGCAGGAGTGCTCGTCGCTCAACTTTGCGCCAAATTCGCACATGTACATGTGAGAGAAGCGGGCTGCCAATCAGAATTGACAATGAACTATCGTTCCTGGTCCAATAAGAAACTCGTCCGAGGGTCGGAAAAAAAAGCACACATACAGCAATTCCAACATTCCAAAACAAAACAAAAATACTTCATCTTCAAGTTGACCCAACTAGAAGGGGGGGGTCACTATTTTGCCTGCTGGCTTTAAACATACTGTCTGCGTAGTATAGGAGTAGGGAACGTACTTGCAGTTTTGGCAATTATTGGTAGCGCGGACATGTACTGTATTGTCCGCCCCTCCCCGTACATAACCAAGTCCCTTCCGCGGATCTGGATCGCCGGTGTTTGTGCTGTTGGTGTAGGTACGTGCCAGATTGGAAGTTGACCAATCACAGTGGGTCGCATATAATTGTCGCGATGATGCCCAAAGTCGCAATACATCAGTCGATTGGGACATGCAGGATCGAGAAATTTGAGCGCGACTCGGCAAAAGTGGGATTGGGACACATCGATTGGGACACATTCCACAGCGGAATGTACCCTAAGAATGTACTCTATGTCAGAATGTCATTGTTCTCTAGCCTGCAGTGGGGTACTCTATAGCGAGTACAACCCCTTAGGGTTTCCTATATGTATCCTGCTGCTTTCTAGTGAACCCCCTTCTTCTTCATTCTAAACTTCTCTACCTACTAATCTTTACATGTACATGTGAGGGAACCTGGCTGCCAATCAGAATTGACAATGAACTATCGTTCCTGGTCCAATAAGAAACTCGTCCGAGGGTCGGAAAAAAAAGCACACATACAGCAATTCCAACATTCCAAAACAAAACAAAAATACTTCATCTTCAAGTTGACCCAACTAGAAGGGGGGGGTCACTATTTTGCCTGCTGGCTTTAAACATACTGTCTGCGTAGTATAGGAGTAGGGAACGTACTTGCAGTTTTGGCAATTATTGGTAGTGCGGACATGTACC